TCTTTCTTTTTCCCCTGTTCTAGGTCTATTATTTCGTTTTGTGTTTTGTTGCGTGTTTTTTTTTCTTTGGGTTTTTTAGTGTTTTCGTTTGTCTTTCTTTGTTTTCTCTGTTTTCCTTTTTGTTTTTGTGTGTAGTTCGGGAGCTTCGGGTAGATATGATTTCAAGAATAACTTGTCCATGCAAGCATAATTAACTAGAAGGGTTCGTTGGCGATGCGTAGGAAAAAACGACACTCAATTCTGAGTTCGGACGAGCTCAAACGAACCTAAAACGCAAAGTCGCGCCCTTAGCGGCGCTAGCCCTGCGCGACCAGTTTTTTATAAATCTCGGTTTTGCTCGATTTTTCAAGCACCTTTCATTGGGACTCATTCCCAACACTAGAAAAACACATCCGGAATATATTTTATCAGTTTTGTTTTTTTTTATCCACCCAAGAACATAATCTTTGATCCTGGTTTTCATCTCCATTTCACGTTTGTTTTCGGATTAAGCTTGTATCTTGGATTCAACTTTCATTCCCGTTTTAATTGCAAGTTCTTCTATTTAATTAATTGATGAGTGAAATTGCTTGGGTTAATATGTTTGATTGTGTTGAACTTAATATACATAACTAATTCGATTGCGAGGGATAGAGGATAATTGTCCTAGTTCGATCGTATTTGTCGGGCTTTGATTTGTTCATTCTCGTGCGAGTTGATTTGAAAAGGATTGATATTTTTTGCTTGAAAGTTGAATATAATTGAAGAGTGACACTTCAATCTTGCAATTGGGCCCGATTGGATATTGTTCTTTCGTGTTAGGATTTGTTGATTCTAAACGATTAGTCGATTAACCCTCTTCTAACTTAATTAGCAACTTTTAGAACTGAAAGAGAAGAAGTCATTGACCTAGGCTCGCATGAGACAGATGATTTCACAATTGAATAGCCTATGGGTTTTTGGATTGAAATACATGCTCGTCAATGTCCCTTCCTTGCTACGAGAGTTATTGAGATTGGATACTTGGCCGGTGTTGTATGCTCGAATTTGTTCGTCTATGTTCAATCCCTTGTTACGAAAAGTTATTGGGAGCGAACCGCTAGATGTTGAGGCGAGAGTGTCAATCTTGAATTGAACAATTAATTTCCCGGTTTTGCGTCTAGAACTAGAATTAATTATCCTCGACTCCCTAGCTTCTCCATTGTTATTTAATTCTTATTTTAGGTTGATTCATGTTTTTACATTATTCTGTATTTCTTAGTTCATAATACCAATTCATCTTGATTAAAATGTTTAGGATTTCTTTGCTTTTTGTGTGTGCTCGACACCAATTCTAGATTCCGAACCGCCTTCCTCGAAAGATCGACCCGAGGTCGAGAGTCATCCCATACTCGGTAAAAATATAATTTGCTACAACCCTCCTCGATCTCCAGTGACAAAGGGAGGTCCCTTCAACTTTAGTGGAGTGGGCTGCATTGAGACAGGACCTCTCGACCAAACCTTCTCCAACCCAGTAGTGACCAAAACCAAAATGCCTACTACTCCTCCTCTTACTAAAAAGAGCATCAGCAAAAGATTTCTAGGTCGAGTGTTGGTGGCACGACCTCCAAACAAGCTCAAATCGAGCAAATGGACATTGTTTGTCCCATTTTTGTTACGTTTTTCGTGTCCATTTTCTCGTTCTTTTTCCCCTATTTTGAGTCGTTTATGTGGTTTTTATTATGTTTTTATAGTTTATTGTGCGTTTATCTCTATTTTGGTTTTCAATGTGTTTTCCGTATGTTTCTTTCGTTTTTTCCTCGTTTATGGTGTGTAGGTTGAAAGCTTCGGAAAGATCGAATTTTAGGCGAAAGTTAGTTGGGCTAGCATAAGTAGATAGAGGAGTTCGTTGGGAACACACAAGAAAAAGCGGAATCAAATTCCGAGTTGAAACGAGCTCAAACGGACCCGAGAAGCAAAGTTACAATCGGGACACGCGATCTTCATCACAGCCCCGCGCCGCGACAGCCCGCACCCCCGCGCCGCGGCACAGCACCTCCCACCGCGCCGTGTCGCGCCTTTCTCACGCCGTGGCCGACTTCTCTTATAAATATGTGCACGGGAACTCATTTTAGGGATTCTCTCCCTTCTGGGGGCTAAAAACCCTAGGGTCGGGAAAAACGACAGAACTCTTTTCTCTGCTGCTTCTTCTTCGCTTTTCTTCTTCTTTTCATTTTTATTTTCCATTTTATTTCTTCTTCTTTTTCTTAGTTAGGGATTAAGCTTGTAATTCGAATTCAACATTTGGACTTGAGATTATTGGTAAGTTTCTTTTCTCTCGTGTTTAATCCATGAATAATGGTTAATTAGGAGAAATAAATTATTGTGTTGAATTTGATTTACGTAGCTAATTCCTTCTGCTAGGGATAGGAGATGATTGTTTTTGATTAATTTCGTTATTATTGGGCTTTAATCTGTTCATGCTTGTGCGAGTTGCTTTAATTAGGGTTAATTAATTCTTGCTTGATAACTTGATATAATCGAAGGGTGACACTTCGATCTTGCAATTGGTATCAATTGAATGTTAAGTTGTCGAGTTAGGGTTTGTTGATTCTATATGATTAGTTGATTAAATACCTTCTAGTCAATTAGCGACTTTTAGAACCGAAAGGGGAGAAGTCGTAGACCCAGGCTCGCATGAGGTAGATGATTTTCGTAATTGAATAGTCTATAGGTTTTGGATTGAAATACGTGCTTGTCAATGACCCGTCCTTTGTTACGAAAAGTTAATGGGACTGGGAAAATTGGCCTGTGTCGTATGCTCGAGTTTGTTCGTCTATGTTCGACCCCTTGTTACGAAGAGTTATTGGAAGCGAACCGCTAGATGACTAAGCGAGAGTGTCAATCTCGAACCAAGCGGTTAATTGCCCGACTTTGCTAGAACTTGAATTAATTATCTCTGATTCCCTAACTTCTCCATCTTTGTTCTGTTCACATTTTTAGGTAGATTATTGCTTTTTTATTATTTCTTAGTTAGTAATTATTCCACCCCTTATCTGATTAAAGTGTGTAGGTTTTATTTTCTTTTTATGTGTGATTGATGCCAAAGCTGAATTCCGAACCGTCTTCCTCGTGAGATCGACCCGGGGAATGAATCTTTCGATTCGGTACTCGGTAAAATATAACAATTTGTACACAACAGACATCGAGGTCAACGTTCTCCAAGATGTCGCCACCAACCCAGATGGGGCAGCGATCTTTATTGGAATTTATGTAGATCTCGTTATGTACAAGTCATGAATTGAATAGAGAACGTAAACCTATGCGCAGTGGAACTAAAGGTTTAATGTAGAAAACTTACGGCTTAATTTTTTTTGAATTTGATGAGATAGATCATATGGGATGACCGAGAGCAGCACGTCGGAGTCATCAGGATCACGTGGGTCTGGGATCTTCGGCGTTGGGCTCGTGGGGCTGCTGTGGTGTCGTCGGGCGGATTGCGGAGGCTAGCCGGGGCGAGGACGTCGTGGGCTTGCGGCTTTCGACTGCTACTCGCATCGTCGCGTGCGGCGTCAGACTTTTGTTGGCTGGTCGTGGCTCGCGGCGACGGTTCGGCGGGTCACGGCGGTCGGCGGTGGTTCGGTGGTAGATCTCCAGGGTTGATGAATATATATGATCACGGGGTATCGAATACCACAAGATCATCTACTGTACTACTAAAACACCTCTTCAACTCGTACCGGTGGAACAACAGGAAGACGACAAAGCTCGGATGGAGATCTAGAGAGATATAGACGCGCGTGCGTGTATATTGCACGATAGGAATTTTTTTTATCTCTTCTTCATTTTTCCATGAGCTTAATGATGTATATGTACAACTACAATAGAGATCCTAAGAAGAACATGATTAGGGCTTCTTAAGTATTGGACTAACTGTGGGCCAAGACCTTTCTTCCTATCATTTAAATACTATTACAATCCATTAACGTACTATTATTGCACCCCTTTCTCCTATCCTCAATTACATTTGAGACTCCAAGAATAATTACCTGAATTATCTCCTCATGTTTAAGATATAATGTCCATAAATTAATTCGATTACTAATAATCAAGAATTAATTCATATATTATATTACCAAAGCTAGCGCCCGTTCATTCCATTATTATTATGCCGAAATTTAATCCACCTGCAGAGTTTAGCATAACAATCCATCATGAACTCACTTCGGGGACATCATCAAACTAACACATATGGTGACCATAAATATCCTAACAGCACATCATACATACAACAATATTACCCAAGACAGTAAGATTATTGACCCAACGAACTGAATCTCATCCAAGTGAATTAAAGTAATAAATACTGCATGTATATGTCTGTTTAATATCTTACGGGTTAAGAGAACGCAATAATAAACCGAGACTTAAGTTTGTTTATGACGACCAGTATAAAACATATTGTTACTCTCTGGGATCCTGTTCAATACATAATTGTACTAGTGCAACTAATCAGTCAAGATAAACTGTACCGTTGACACTACAACCGTTCTGATGGTTTGTTCATTTCCATCTAGGTAATGAACCAATAATTCTTGTTTCGCAAGTGACTGATAAAATGATCTCTTGTCCATTCGTGATGAACCATTTGATCTAAGTGCAAAACAACAGAACATAGAACTTGTTTAATCAAACATAATATTCATTCATCAATGGCAAAAGTGTAATATCATCCAAAGCCAAGCTTTCAGTGTATAACACCAAAAATCTCTTCCTACCTTATGAAGGTCTTACCTTATAGGGAGGCTCGTCACTGGGGTTCCAACCCCCAAAGGCAGTGTGATTATGTTTCTACGAGTTTAGCCCAGGTGCACCTATTCCCCAATTTTATTAATAATTTACCTTATATGGTTTCCTTAAGAACTTTCTTTCTTGCAGCTCCTATCTGGTTTGTCCCCATGCTCGAAGACCGATTCAGCAACCTTGTTCCTTTGATTCAAGACCTACATGATGAGATCAAGGCCTTGCAGGAGAATAATTGATTGACCCAACACAATTTCGACCTCCAACAAAGGTTGGATAAGAGCGGTCGCCAACATGCTGACGACCTCAAAGAGAAGGAGAAAGAGCTGATTGTGGAGGTCTACCACCACGAAGAGAAAGTGAAGGTTTCCAATACTGCCGATATGCACCAAAGTCAACAATACTTCCTCACCTCTCAACTAGGAGGTACTTTCCTTAATGCCTACTAGGAACATGTCGTCGAGGATTTTATTCGATTTTTGAGATTCCTTATAAAGCTCAGTCCCACCACCTATTAATACTTGTGTTATGCTTTAGATGAGGTCCATAAGCAGATCGAGTTTCCCAGCTTCTCAAGGGTTATCGACCGCAAGGTTATTGAGGATCAACTCCACGAACGTGAGCCTAGGTTCCCTTCGACCACGTGTGATGAAATCAAACTCTCGAGTGATGTCTTCCTCATTGAAATCTCGAGAGAAGACTTGCCATGCCCACTGCTCAAGTTGCAACTCCTCCTCCTAAAGTTCCACTAGAAGGGGGTCAAGCGTCAAGGGCACATGTCGATGCCATTGAGTCGAGAACCGGCAGAGTGGCTCTTTAGAAGACAACCGATCAAACAACCTTCGACTGTCCTAACTGCTTCAAGCGAAATCTAACTCCTCCCCAATAAACTCTTGTCATAATTTTATTTTATGTTTTGGAACTTTTAATTTGGTTGATCGATTGTGTAATGTGTCTTTAGTTGAAATGAAATTTTTGTTCCTTTATTCTGTCGCATTTTATTTCTGCTCCTTAACTCTGTACTTGGAAATTTTTGCACTTAATGTCCAAGTTAACCTAATCAGCAGGTCTCCACAATCAATTCCACATTTCTAAAAAATCTTACAATTGACATTATAGTCGCCATAATTACTCGACCTGCCATTGTGGTTTCTAAAAGTGACTCCATACTTAGAAAATTTTTTGCCATCTCTAATTAAGAATACTTTTTTCTATTCGACCATGCGCTGAGGTCACCAAATTTAAATTTGTACTTTAGAAAATTTTCTGCCATTATGTTTACCTTATATGTTCGACCCTCCACTGAGGTCTCAAATAAGTTTTCATTCAACGAACCTCGTAATTTGAAATGCAATTGTCACACGAAATCCAATTGAATCGACTTACTGTTGAGGTCTTAGTATATCACATAGTAAATTTTTTAGATTAAAATGGGACTGTCATCCTAACTTGTAACTTTGTCGATCTACCGTTTCCCAATTTCGAGTGTTTTGGATTACACTAAATTCTTTACACTTGCCCGACCTGCCTCTGAGGTCATTAAACAAGCGAGTCCAACCCTTTTGGACCTTTTAGAGGTTCTAACCAAGGAGCATGCAGATCCCAAAAGCGCAAATTTTTAGTTTTTACTACTTATGAAAATGTTTTTGTGAAATTTTTGGGCACTTCCCTTTCTGATGTGACCCGTATTGTATTAGAGGACCTTCTAGCGGCTCAGGGTCGATGTAATTGAGGAGCGGTAGTTTGATCGGCTAGCTCGAAAGTCTTAGCCATGCCAGATTTTTCCGTCAAGGCTCCAACACTTGCCTAACATGCCTCTGAAGTCGTTCAAACAAGCAACTGGCATGCTCAAAACCTTAGTCATGTCGGGTTTGTTCCATCAAAGCTCCAAGACTTGCACAACCTACCTCTGAGGTCGTTCAAACAAGTGACCGGTCAACTCGAAAGCCTTATTTATGCCATGTTTTTGCCATCAAGGCTCCAACACTTGCCCGACCTATCTCTGAGGTTGTTCAAACAAGTGATTGATAAACTCGAAATCCACAGTCATGTCGAGTTTTCGCTATAAGGATTCAACAGTTGCCCGACCTACCTCTGCGGTAATTCAAACAAGAGATCGACCAGCTTGAAAGCCTTAGTCTTGTCGGGTTTTATCTTTAGCTCTTCAACATTCACCCACATCTACCTCTAAGGTTGTTCAAACAATGACCCACCAGCTCAAAAGCCATAATCATGGTGAATTTTTTGCTGAGAATTTGCCTTGACCTGCCACTAAGGTCACCAACACTTTGGACATTTTTATATTTGTATAGCCATAACAACTCATATAGCAAAAATGATATTCTCCATTGATGATACGAGCATAAAAATTACACACATCAAAAAATTTTAAGCATAATTTTGTGAGTTTTATTTTCAGTGTGACTGTGTATTGTAATGGAGTTGGAAATGGAAATGGTATATTGATGCTCAAGTAGGCAATGTTTCTTAGATGTTGATTTTGTATAATGGTAGGTAGATTTTGATTTTGGAAATGGAAATGGTAGATTAATTCTCAAGGAGACTTATGTATGATGGTGAATTATGTTATGAATGACATTTCTTTTCCTTTATGGAGTTCTTTATTCCTCATATTAATAGTTCTGTACCATGAACAAGGAAAAGAAAAAACAGTTATCATTAACTGATTATTTACACTAATATTAAGCCTTAGATTGTTGTTCATTAGTCAACACGTATCCCTAAAAACAACTGATTATTTGCAACATGATAACTTAGTCTATTTAGCTTAATGTACCATCATTACAATTAGTTCACAAATACAGTGAATATCCTCACAATAGCTATAGAACAACATGATAGCAAACTTAACAACTAAATGCAACTTCATTACACATCAACCAAAAAGATGTTCCACTTGGAAGGAAATTGAAGTCAATTAGAAAAGATATTCTTTAACATACTTACTTAGACAGATTCATACTTCAACATACCCAATATGATATAGCCATACTTGTGAACCGGAGTCAAGTATGAAGAGGTCCGAGCGAAACGGAGGAAGAGCAACCTGAGGAGGTCTAGACGAGACTTGAAGGTCTCGGTGATTAAGTATGGGAGTAGACATGCTCTCTATGACTGAGTATGAGAAGCTCCACACGACTAAGTATGGGAAGTAGACATGCTCTCTGTGACTGAGTATGAGAAGCTCCACACGACTAAGTATGGGAAGTAGACATGCTCTCTGTGACTGAGTACGAAAAGGTCGAGCTGCTTTAAGAAGATAATTAGAGGTAATCTCGACTTGCTAGACTTGCTAGAGGTCATCTCGACCTGCTAGACTTGTCTCGACCTGCTAGACTTGTCAGAGGTCATCTCGACTTGCTAGACTTGTCTCGACCTGCTAGACTTTCCAGAAGTCATCTCGACTTGCTAGACTCGTCTCGACCTGCTAGACTTGCCAGAAGTCATCTCGACTTGCTAGACTTGCGAGAGGTCATCTCGACCTGCTAGACTTGCCAGAGGTCATCTTGACTTGCTAGACCTGCTAGAGGTCATCTCGACTTACTAGACGTCTTCTCTACTAGAGGTCTCCGCTACTAGACATCTTCTCTACTAGACGTCTCCGTAACTAGAGGTCTCTGCTACTAGACCTCCGCTACTAGACGTCTTCTCTACTAGACGTCTCCGTGACTAGAGGTCTCTGCTACTAGACCTCCGCAACTAGACGTCTTCTCTACTAGACATCTTCGGGACTAGAGGTCTCTACTACTAGACCTCTCCGCTACTAGACTTCTCTGTGACTACAAGAGAGAGGCAGTAATTGGATGAGAAGGAATCTTGAGCTGACTAGGAGGTAGATGGAATGCAAACCTACCAGGGCATTTTGGACACTTCAGGCAAGTAGTTCCCTCTATATAAAGGGGCTGAGGTAACCCTAAACCCGAACCTCTACTCATTCTATACACTTTCTATCTCTCTGCTGCTACTGCTCTCTGAGAGCAGCTCTCTCCCCCACATTATATGAATTTCTACATGCATCATAGCTCTACATCACAGAGCTTCATCTTCCTCTCCTCTGTTTACTGACTTGAGCGTCGGAGGCCCGACGCCAGGACCTCTCCCGGCGTTGGGTTCTTGCAGGTGTTTGCGGCGGTCTAGCAATGATTTGAGGGCGGTTCAAACAGATCGGAGCTCACAACAACCGGTTTACTCCAGATCTGGAAGTAGACCCATCACAATACAATGCAAATCAATAATTCATCCTTCAACATACTACTTAGCCACACATCAATCCAAAAACAGTCACATCTTCTTAGCCACAAAAAATACTAATGTTTCAAAACTAACTCCACAACTACTTCAATCCAAAAACAGATACAACTACTTAGCCACATTCTCTTGAGTTCTTGGAAAATGTGCACTTGCACCAGAGCCTGAAATAGAAGCATCTTGAGTCTTCTTGGATTGACTCCTAGTACTAGGCCTACCAACACGGTTCACCAAATGCAGTGTTTTTGTTACTTGACATCTGGATATATGAAATATGTATTAGTATTCTAAGTAATTGAAATGGACACAATATATCTATTAAGAATAAGTAAATAATATCTAACCCTTATGTCAATCTATCATGTTTCTTTAGAAACCAACACACCATATCTCTTTCTTGCCTGAAATACAATATGCACAAAAATATAGTGAAACAGTTCGTAAGTCAATATATTCTAAGTTGTTTAAATATACCAATGCTCTTTCTTTTCTAGTTTGAGCTATGTGGAATTCATGTTCTTAGACTCCAGTTATTCTGGGGGGATTTTCCTCGTTCTTACTTGTGTTGGAGATGCATTTAAGAGGCCACTGTGTAGTGGGACAGATGGGATAATCTCAGACTCACTAGGCAGTTCCGTTATCCTCAGTGTACCTCTCTTTGCCTAATCATAGAATAAAAATGCACTTAACTGATGAACACACACAGAAATACATAAATACAACAAATACCTTCTGAGGCATAGGTGAAACATCATTTTTGCAGCTCCTCTTGTTGTGTCCAATCTTGAAGCATCTTTGACATCTCATTTGCAATTCAAAACGTTTCAGTGTTGTTGCACTCTTCTTTTACTCTTCAGGTGCTTTTTTCTTGCCATTTTAGGCCTCCCAGGCATTTTTTTCAAATGGAGGTAGTTTAACTTTGGCCCCATTTGCCTCATGCCACATTTTTTTGCCATTCAATAGTTTAAGTAAAAAGGAATATGGCCTCAAATACCTCTCAAGGCTGAAGTAAAAATGTACAAATGCTGCCACGTCTTTTTTTTTATAAAGAATTGCAAAGTAGTCATGGACACAAGGAATCCCAGGGATATCCCACTCTCCACGGGTGCAACTCATCTCCCTCAGATCAACTACAAACTAGTCATCTAAAATTGCCACTTGAAACTTGTCACCCACAGCAGGCTTAGTATGACACAATTTACTTTTGTAGTTAGCATCATCAGCCTTTTTTTTTCTAATCCTAGGACAAAGCACATTCTTCACAACACTACCCAACAAATATGTCTGTGTGTTATAATTGTTTGAGTGAACAATTGATAAAAAGGGGATACTTAAACAATCAAATATGTCTGTGTGTCTTTATAAAGAAATCACGTGATGGAGTTGAGATAATTATTGTCTATGTTGATGATCGTTATATTATTGGGACAACAAATGAAATTCGAGAAGCAATCACTTTTCTGAAAGGCGAATTTGAAATGAA